AGATCTAGCTAAGATAATTGATGAAAGTGCCTACACTAAACAACAGATTTTCAATGTAGACAGAACAGTCTCATGCTGGAAGCAGATGCCATTTAGGACTTTCGTTGCTAGAGAGAAGTCAGTGCCTAGCTTCAAAGTTTCAAAGGAGAGGCTGACTCTCTTGTCAGGGCCTAACACAGCTGGTGACTTTAAGTTGAAGTCAATGCTTAAGTACCATTCCAAAAATCCTGGGAACCTTAAGAATTGTGCTATTATCTACTCTTTCTTTGCTCTATAAATAAAATAGCAAAGCCTGGATGGCAGTATATCTGTTTCCAGCATGGTTTACTGATCATTTTAAGCCCAATGTTGAGATTTACTGCTAAGAAGAAAAGGTTCCTTTCAAAATGTTACTGCTTATTGACAACGCACCCCAGAGTGCTGATGGCAATGTACAAGGAGATTAATATTTTTGTGTCTGTTAACACTATATATATATCGTAGTCCATGAATCAAGAAGTAATCTGGACTTTCAAGTCTTATTACTTAATACATACATATCATAAGGGTATAGCTGCCATAGATAGTGATTCCTCTGATGGATCTGGGAGCAAAGTAACTAGAAAATTTTCATTAAAAAGATTTACCATTCTAGATGCCATTAAGAACATTCATGATTCCTGGGGGAGATCAAAATATCTCTATTAATAGGAGTTTGTGGCTGGGAGAAGTGGCTCACGCCTGTAATCACAGCACTTTGGGAGGCTGAGGTGGGTAGATCACAAGGTCAGGAGATTGAGACCACCCTGGCTAACATGGTGAAACCCCATCTTTACTAAAAATACAAAAAATTAGCCAGGCGTGGTGGCACATGCCTCTAGTCCCAGATACTCAGGAGGCGGAGGCAGGAGAACCACTGGAACCCAGGAGGCAGAGGTTGCAATGAGCCTAGATCACACCACTGCACTGCAGCCTGGGCAACAGAGCTAGACTCTGTTTCAACAACAACAACAAAACAATAGGAGTTTGGAAGAAGTTAATTCCAACTTTCATGGATGACTCTGAAAGGTCCAAGACTTCAGTGAAGGACGTAACTGAAGTGACTGAAGTAGCAAGAGAACTAGAAATAACTGAAGTAGCAAGAGAATTAGAAGTAACTGAAGTAACTGAAGTAGCAAGAGAACTAGAAACAGAAGTGGCACCTGAGGATGTGACTGAATTGCTGCAATCTCATGATAAAACTTGAATGGTTGAGGAGTTCTTATGGATGAGTAGAAAAAAGTGGTTTCTTGAAATAGAATCTACTCAAGGTGAAGATGTTGTGAACATTGTTAAAATGTTATATCAACTTAGTTGATAAAGCAGAGACAGGGTTTAAGAGGATTGACACCAATTTTGAAAGAAGTCTACTTTGTGCACAATGCTACCAGATAGCATCACACACTATGAACAACTTTTTCATGAAAAGAAGAGTCCATTGACTCCATTAGTCCATTGGCAAACTTCACTGTTGTCTCATTTTAGGAAGTTGTCACAGACACCTCAACCTTCTGTAGCTACCACCCTGATCAGTCCGCAGCCTACAACATCAAGGCAAGGCTCTTCACCAGCAAAATGGTTATGACTCATAAAAAGCTCAGATGATTGTTAGAATTTTTTGGCGATAAAATATCTTTATTTAAAATGTGTACATTGTTTTCTTATACATAATGCTGTTGCACACTAAATAGACTACAGTAGAGTATAAATATAACTTTTTTATGTGCTGAGAAACAAAAAAAAAATTGTGTGACTGACATTGTGATATTCACTTTATTGCAGTGGCCTGGAACTGAACCCACAGCACCTCTGAGTTATGCCAGGACCCAGAATAGATGCATTCATAGAGACAAAAAGCAGGTTGCCAGGGGCTGGTGGGAGGTGGGAATATTGAGTCACTGCTGAAAGGGTATATGATTTCCTTTCGGGATGATGAAAATATTTTCAAACTAGATCGGGACTAGGTACCATAATATTGTGAATGTACTGAATGCCACTGAATTGTTCATTTTAGGGTAATCTTATGTTAATTTTATGTACAAGAAAAAGTCTTGGTGTGATTTGTTATAAGCTATGGTAACTGGAACATATCTAAAAATTCTTTGCCTTTCTTCAGGTTTGATTTAAGGTAGGGATCAAAGTTATGTTCGTTCATTTGTTTTTCCATGTGACTAACTTTGTTGAGCATAGCGTTTATCAATGTCAATTAGGTCAATTAGTTGATAGTCCTGTTCAATCTTCCATATTCTTACTAATTTTTCAGTCCATTTATTCTGTTTATGTCTTCCTTTAGTTCTATAAATTTTTGTATCATGTATTGAGAACTTTTGTTATTGGGTACATAACCCTTTAGTATTATTATGTCTTCTTGATTAAAAAACCTTTTATAATTATGATACGGTCTCTTTATCTCTGGTAATATCCTTTATCTTGAATTTTTATTTGGTTTGATACTACTTTAGCCATATAGGCTTCTTTTTGTTAGAGTTTCAAACTGTTTGTATCTGCATATTTAAAGTATGTTTCTTACATTTTAACAAATCTATACTCTTTATTCAGTCTGACAATGTTTGCTGTAATTGGAATGTTTAATACATTTACATTTATTATCATTGTGGGCACATCTGTATTTCAACTTACAATATTGGTGTCCAAGTTCTACTTTTCCAGTCCTTTCTTTGTTTCTCTGTTACTTTTCTCCTGTTTTTGTTTTGGGAAGATGAACAATTTTTTTCACATCCCATTCTAATGTATCTACTAATTTTCAATTTAAGCATTTTGTTCTAGTTTTTAGTGATGCTTTAGAGATGAAAAACACATCTTTAACTCATCATGATTTATGTACAAAGGTATTTTATTACCTCAAAAATAATTTGTTTTAACAATATATTTCCAATGAATAACCCTAAATCTATTGTATTCTTTTTGTCATACATATTAATTCTACATATGCTGTTTTTAAAAAAACCATGCTATTTCATTATTATTTTCGCTTTAAAAAGCTTGGTAACCGTCTAGTGAAACTAGAGGTTGGGAGTAGATTACCTGAGTAAAAATGAATATAATCAGACATTAGACTACCCTGTGACAAAACAGCATCCTATAAAGAGCACAGGACCTCTACAATGAGCAGGCCTTTTGGCATCCAAAACTGATTCTATAATTTAGTAATCTCCTAAGGTTTTGCACTTATCATTGGAAGACAGTGAGAGCAAAATGAGAGGTAAGATCCATGATGAAAAGGAAGACTGAGACTTTATTCATTTTTTATATCCTTCTTGATTCATTTTTTATCATTTAGCATGTATTAATTGAAATAGGCACTGTGTTGGATATTACTGGATACACTGTTGTAAAAAAAGACATGCAAATTTTAAACTTGTATATTTTTTAAAACTTGGGACCTAAGTTTACATACCAAACTGGTGAAGTGGGACAATTTGGTTATGATCATAATTTCTAAAGAAGGTTTGAAGTTGTTAACACTTCATATAATTTTCACATGAACTTCGTGTTGTTAATGCAATACTTTTTATGAGTACCACTATGTAAATGAAGCTACTCACAAAGTTAAATTTAGTTGCTTTCACAAATGACCCAGATGCAGATTCCAGTTAGCACATAGTGGTTTTTCAAACATTTTCAAACAAAGATAAATATGTTCTGCCTACTCCTTTCTCTGTTGAAACTAAAATCAAATATCTCACCCTGTAACAAGCACAAGGAATTGAGGTATAAGAAGAACAGCTTGCAAGCTCTCTTTTCTTCCAAGAATAGCTGTGATTTGCTAGAGGCTCCAGAGATTTTTGACATGTTTATACATATGTGGGGGTAGCAGAGCACTGGAGAATCCCAGTAGCTACCAAAGCAGTGGGACACTGAGAGAGAAGAGATATTTAGGTGGTATAGCTTGAATATTTGTCCTCTCCAAATCACATGGTAAATTTGAGCACCAATGTTGGAGGTGGGGCCTGGTGGAAGGTGTTTGGGTCATGGGGAGCCAATCTCTCAAGAATGGCTTGGTGTTGTCCTCGTGTTAAGGAGTAATTTCCCACTCTATTAGTTCTTACAAAATCTGATTGTTAAAAAGAGCCTTGCACCTCCCTCCCATCTCTCTTGCTCCTTCCTCTCACTATATGATGCCTGCTCCCCTTCACCTTCTGCCATGAGTAGAAGCTTCCTGCAATTTTCACAAGAAGCAGATGCTAGTGCTGTGCTTCTTGTACAGCCTGCAGAACCATAAGCCAAATAAATCTCTTTTCATTATAAAATTCCTAGCCTAAGTCATTCCTTCATAGTAACATAAAAACAAACAAAGACATTAAAACAGTAGGGAAGAGAATAAATATATATTGATTCTCAATTGAATTGAATGATCAATTCAATTCAACCAACATTGTTACTTTGAAATTCTCCTTAGAGGGTAATCAATGTCCTGCCCATTCCACAATTAAAGGGTCTTTCCAAGAGTTCATCCCTCTTGACTTTTTTTTTTTTTTTTTTTTTACAAGAATTTCATGTTTTTACACAGAAATTAATGAGTAGGACTTCAGGAAAATCCCAGATGAAATATTTTCTAAAATGTATTAAATGTTTTGAATAGAAATCTTATTTGCTTCTACTCTAAATTTGATTTGCTTTTATGTACTTCATTATATATAGGTAGGTACTGCTTTCAATATGATGTAATGCTACAATTGACTATAAGAGGTAAGAGACCGGCTTCACACAGTTTATATTCTTCATGTAACATTACACTCAAAAAGGTCTAAGTGAATTACACATGTTTGAGAATATTAGTGAGCAAGTAGATACACATAAATAAAGATCAATGTTAATGTGGAGTAAAAGTGAAATTCACTAGGATTAAAGGCCAGAAATATCAGATGAAAAGCTGGCCTTCAATTACTACCTTTTCATAATTTTCTTAACAACGTAAACTTACATACTTTGACTAGCATTTGAACAACAAACTTCCTTACATGATTTGGAGTCCGGTGATGGTGGAGAAATATTAGACACAGCAAGGTCACTTTTTGATTTTTTAGGCTTCTTTGCATTTAATTGCCAAGGTTTATCATAGCTTCTGAAATCCCGTCTTGTTCCTTTGGATTCTGTTAAAACAAAATGTATATAAAAGCCGAATAATGTGATTTCAAGATTGAGCGAAAACCAAATCCATGAAATTATTAAATATACTTGACAAAACACATAGGTCACCTCATATTAAAAATAATGTACACATGCAAAAGTACTTCTTATCTAATTTCGTCTGTAAATTAGAGTTTTAAATCTGATATGAATCAGCTTATATATGCATATGATTAAGATTATATCATATGAAACTCTGAAATTGACTGGGCATGGTGGCTCGTGCCTGTAATTTCAGCACTTTGGGAGGCCAAAGTGTGTGGATCACCTGAGGTCAGGAGTTTCAGGCCAGCCTGACCAATATGGTGAAACTCCATCTCCACTAAAAATACAAAAATTAGCCAGCTGTGGTGGCAGGTGCCTGTAATCATAGCTACTTGGGAGGCTGAGACAGGAGAATTGCTTGAACCAGGAAGTGGAAGTTGCAGTGAGCCAAGATTGTGCCACTGCACTCCAGTCTGGGTAACAGAGTGAGACTCCATCTTAAAAACAACAAACAAACACTACAAAATTACTTTGAAGTCTTTTTAAGGTATGGGTTCCCATGACTTAAAATAAGATTCTATGAATGTCATGGAATAAAGCATTGTATTCAGTTGTAAATAAAAAAAACATTTCAGTAAATTTCACTCACTTGATGCTACCTTATCTATTATGACACATAAAATCATTGATATTCACCTAAATCAATGTATCTTCTATTGCAAGAAAGATCAATTCAGTTCAACCAACATTGTTATTTTGAAATTCCCCTTAGAAGGTGGTCAATGTCCTGCCCATTCCACAATTAAAGTGTCTTTCTAAGAGTTCATCTCTCTTGACTTCTTCTGCAAGAATTTCATGTTTTTACACAGAACAATCTTTTTCCTCATCCTCATATCACCTGATAACTCTTTCTTGAGCTCATTTATTCCTTCCTCATCTTCCATTACTCTAATCTATGTGGCATCCTTTAGGATTTCTTTATGCCTTCTTGGCTTAATTTACAAATTTAAAAACCAACTTAGCTTTATGGATGACTCATAAGTCTTTCTCTGGCCACCCACCTATAAATAACTAATATACACCATTACAAATTCCTCAAATTTTCATGTTAAAGCTGTAATTAACTAGCCATTACCCAATTTGACCACCTCCAAAATCCTATTAAATACCAAAAAGGCATGAAAATTCTAAAGTACTAGGAACCTAAATATTGTTCATGGTCTGCTATAACTCAAGAAGTATTTCCATAGATAAAATTAAGAAAGAATATAGGCCAGTCAGAAAGAGAATGGAAGATGACTAGGTATCTACCCCAACCCTGGAGTCATCTCCTTACGTTGTTTCACAATCTTTAGAATTTGTCTTTCTACATCTATTCTTGAATTATGAATTCCTCTAATGCAACATAGATAATGGGAGAAGAAACCTTGATCATAAAATATAGCATCTCCTGATACAAAGGGATATTAAAAGGGGTCAGAGAGGAATGAATTAATTTTGTGGCTTTCTTTATTCTCTACTTCTAGCAAGAAAACATCCATATTAATTCAAATAATCTAGCAATGATATTTTTATCTAGTTCATTGAAAAGAGATAAGACACAGCAAGTCATGCATCAAGTTTGCAGAAACTTAAAGTATTCAACGAATACTGAAAATTTTAATAGCAAGCATGATTTCACCTCTGTAAAGTTTTGAAAAGAATCCAAATAGTTTGAGGCTACGTAGAGAGAGAACAAAGAAGAGACCACCTACACTATTTGTTGATAAATCTAAAACTAGATGGAACATTTCTCATTTAAGTTCTAATAAAAAGAGAAAATACTATTTTAAGAATAATGTAATTTAAAAACAAGAATACAGCACTCACAATGCACAGGTAATCATAATTTTTAAAAACATTTATAATGAAAAGTCATTAAATGTTGGAGTGTGACTGTGACTATTTTGTCTTCTCAACAAAAATAAAGTGGGCTCAACGAAGCAAAAAGAAATTAGATAGGAGACAGGCTAACCAACCCATGATTAAAAATGTAACTGTGTACAGAAATAACAAAAAGAAGATTAGGTAAGCAAGTAGCAATAGGAAACTAAAATGCAATGCAAACATTTACATTTGCATTCAAAGCCAGAAAGAGAAAACTGATAGTGTAGAAAATTGAATCAGTGACATAGAGAAAGCACTTTTCTTGATACACTTCTCTAGAAGAGAGTCAACAAAGAAAGGCAAATACAATGCCAAATGAAATGAGAAAAACAGAGAACAGTAAATAAGACTCAATTTGCACATATTTTCCTGAAAAATAATAGCCGACATTCCAGTAAAACTTTTGAATATCAGAAGTAAAAAAATAATTTCTTTTTTATTCCCACAAAGGAATAAAAATAAGACTGTTTTCAAGATTCTCCTCCACAATGTTAAATGACAGACTTTTAAATAGAAAATGTTGTGTCCCAAGTTGCTAGAAATATTTAAAGGCAACAAGAGGGGACATCTTCAGATATTTCCAAAAGGTATGATACCCATGCACTTTGAATTTTGAGACATTTTCTAGCTAATTAGAAGATGCACCAAAATCAATAATTCCAAATGACAGTCAGGGTTTAAACTGGCATTATTTACCATCATTCAATTATAACCTCTTTAGTTTCATTCAACCCAAGAATTCATCTATGCTTTTTTCTTCCTTCCTGCCATACTTTCCCTCTAAAATTTTTCCTCTTTCTCTGGGCCCTATCTTCCACATAAGCACTCTTCCATCCTCAAATGTCTCATTTGATGTCTTAGTACAACCCCCATTCTTCCCACAATAGCGTTCCCTTGTCTGCAGCTTCCTGGGATGGTGGGTGCTCTTGCCCCATGCCCCATGTCCCACCAACTACTGTGGAGGCAGGGCTGGATCTCCTGGTTCAGTGATGCTTCTGTGATAGAAGCCTCAACAGTAAAATAAAGTGCCTGTTCTCTTATGGGAAAAGTCGTCTAGCTATACTACTCATCACTCTTCATTATCACCATCTTTTCTGCCTCTGATTAATCTTAGCCTTACTTCAGACAGTGGCAAAGTCTTGTCCTGTCTCTTGTCCTTTCAACAACTTAAATGAAACTATGGTGACCTCTTTATCCTTAGACAGACCATGCATTAAGCCTCATACTTCTTTGCCCTGCTCAACTCTGAAGAGTTTCACTTCCCTGATGCTTCTGTTACCCCCAACCTTAAGCTGCCCACAGGATTTTCTCATCTGGAATCATTCCCCATCAAACATCTTGATCTCAAATATCACAATCTCTCACCACAGCTGTATCCTTCTGCATTCCTCATATTTTCACTATCTTGATCTCCTGGAGGTTTTGATTGGCTTTCTCTGTCTGAACCTCTCCCTTCACTTACTCTCTACTTCTCAGAGAGCTTGATCACCCATAGTTTGCTCACAAATATCCTCAACTCCTTTTGCAAAACTGTTCTCCCATCGTTGCTGTAGTAATACAACCACAATTCTCAAAGTCCCTCAAACTGTTTTCTCTCTCCCTTCCCAGAACTTCTGGGCACTGCTAGAGAAAAATAATCTTACTCATAGTTTCTATGATTCATTAATAGTAATTAATTCATGGCCTGAACTTCAGTTAGGCTCCAGAACTGCATCACATTCTTTTTTAAATTTTCCTTTGCCAACTCTTTTTTCCTTTCTTTGGTGACTCTCCATAATTGGTGCACTTACTTCAGTCTTCCCTATCTGACCCCCTAACCACTTGTCTGGACAAACACCCTCACCACATAATAAATAGATAAAATTTAAGTCACCTGAAATCACCTCACGCTTGCCTTCTCCCAGTCCATCCCATACTCAATAGAGTATAAATTTGACCCATATCTTCCTTTGTTCTTTCATTCTTATTATTATCTGTATGATATTGAAGGTTACGTCTGAGACTCCTGATTTGACCCATCCCCAAAGCTTTAGACTCACATCCAATAGCCTGCTGGTATTATCTACTAAGATGAACCACAAGAAACTAAAACTCATCAATAGGAATTAAGAGAACTGACAGAATAACATGGTAATTATTAACCATGATCTCTCTGCCCCATGGTGTTTCCTCCCACATTTTGTCTACCTTGCAAATGCAGACAGGACTTTTAAATTGCTTTGAAACAGTAGAATATGGCAAAGGTGATGAGATGTCAATGGTATAATTATATTCTAGTATATAAGATCCATCTTAGTAGACTGGAATGAGAGAAATGTCCTTGTTGACTTTAAAGAAGTAAGTTGCTGGCTGGGCGTGGTGGTTCACAACTGTAATTCCAGCACCTTGGGAGGCTGAAGCAGGAGGATCACTTGAGCCCAGGAGTTCAATGTTGTAGTGAACTATGATCATGCCACTGCACTCAAGTCTGGCAATAGAGCAAGACCTTGATTTTATTTTAAAGAAGAAGAAAGGAAAAAGGAAGAAGAAGGAGGAGGAAGGGGAGGAGAAGGAGGAAGAGAAGAAGAGGAAAAAGAAGAAAAGGAGGAAGAATTAGTAAGCTGCCGTGATGTGAGAGACGTGGCAGGGACTCTGGGTTGCACCTAGGAGATGAGAGTAGCTCCTGGCTGAAAGCCAGTCAGAAAATAGGGATCGCAGTCATATAGCCACGGGAAATTCATTCTGCCAACAGTCCAAATGAGCTTCAAAGCAGATTCTTTCCTAGTCCAGCATCCAGATGAGAATGTAACCCAGCCAACACCTTCATCTGCAGCCTTTAGAGACCAAGCAGACGACTCAGCTAAACCATGCACAGACTTCTGACACATAAACACTGAGGTACTCAACGTGTGTGATTAAAATGCAGAGCTCTTTCCAGATACTATGATTTATAAAATATGGACTCACATGAGCTACAGTGAATTCATAGATACCCATCTGATCTGCATTTATGTGGTGGGTACCATCAAACCACAGCCCCTGCCTACATACCCATTCTACTTAGAATCTAAGCCCAAGAAAGTTAAGGCCAAGAAAAAGTAAGAGTTCTTTATATTTATATGCCAAAAGTTCACATTCTAACTTCCTGCATGATGCAAATAACTTTTGTATGGATAAATAACAGTACAGATGTCTACATTCTTCAGAGGATACCCTACTCTCTATCCACTTTAGTGTGGCCTTGGGACATGGACTCTAGAAGGCATTCATATAAGATATAATTGAAGAAGACTAAAATCCTTTCATGGGATCCCATAAAGCATGAAGAGGCAGGGAGAAGAGATAATGCCATCCAAGGAAAGTCATTTGGAGTGTAGTTGGATTCCTGCAAGAATCGGGCAAGAAGTTACCTACTCAAGCAACAGGCATGAGGGGATTTGGATTTGAAAGTAAATGTCAAACTAACAGACCAACGTGTAAACACATTTTATGAGAAAAGATGGAGGTCAAATCTATCCAATTCTCTCACCAGTGTTTACTGGGGAGATGAGGCCATTATAAACTTGAAATACTAGTTTCCTGATGTAAAGAGTGATTGAATCTTCCTAATGTTTACTACACAGGATAAAACCAAGCCATGGAGAAATAAAGAACAATCATCAGTTTGGGCAACAAGAAAAGTAATCCTATTGAACTCTACTATTATCTTTCTATATAGATAAGCTCTAAGCATTTAATTCAAATTATTCATTAAAAAATAAGTTTAGGATCACCACTTGGAATTCATACAGAATAAAATCTTTTTATGTAAATCCAAATCTTATCTGTATTAAAGTGGAATATGCTGATTCTTGTATTTTGAGGCATAATACATTACAATATATTCAAATTTAATAACATGACAAATTTTAGCATCTAGGTAAGGTCAGAGATGAACACATTAAAACTTCGGTAACTATCCATCTAGATTTATCTTATTAGAATCAAAAAGTGTTTTGAAATTTTGACACTAAATGAATCCAAAATTTACTGCCTATCTATTCTTCATTTACCTGATGTTTCGCTTTCTGCCCATAGAGCTGCAGATCCAGACAAAGTCCTTTGAAGTTGTCCACGGTTCCCTTGTTTTGACTGAAGATGGTCAATGAGAAATGGGATTGGCTGGTCAGGTGTCTCAGTTATTAGCTTGGTCATTAATTCCTGAAGGCAGAACAGAGCATACCATTACATCTAATAATAACAGCAACAATGATAGCAAACACTTACTTAGCGTTTAATATTGTCAGGCACTGTTCTGCTTTATATACAGCAACTAACTTCATGCTTATAACAATCTTTTCAGACAGGTACAAGTTACCGTCCTCATTCCGAGCAAACAAGAGCAGAGAAGTAAATTGTCTATGTTAACAAAGCTAATATGTGGCAAAGCCAAGATATATTTATTTTTATTTTGTATTATACTTAGCCAACAACATACTAAAAGTTTAATCTAAATTCTTTTTAGAATTTTTTTTTGTACTTTAAGTTGTGGGGTACATGTGCAGAATGTGCAGGTTTGTTACATAGGTATACACGTGCCATGGTGGTTTGCTGCATCTATCACTCTGCCGTCTACATTAGGTATTTCTCCTAATGCTATTCTAAATCTTTTAATACTATAGCTTAAGAATTTAAAACTTCAATTTGCTATTTTGAGAGATGTCTTAATAAACTAAACTTTTGCTAAACTTTACCATCTACCTTAAATATCAATGTCATTTTTTCTTATTAATGATATAAAAATAACAAAAATGGAGAAAATTTTCTTGAAATTAAAGAAACAATAAGTCACAAGACTTACAGAAACCAAAAAGTGTCTTAAAGTAGTCTCCAAGAAATAGAGAATTTTCTTTTTGCAAAAAGTCCTGATGAATGTCCTTCCTTCTTCCTTCTTTCTGCTGTTTTTGAGTTGAGTAGTAGGGTGAGTTCTCTGTCTGCAAAGCGGGCTATCCCATTTTGAATAGCTGTAATTATATTTTAAATGGGGCTAAAATCTGCCCAAGGGTAATATATACACATTTTTTTTTTCTTCTTCCAGTCAGGAACAGCAAAGAGCAATCTCCAATATGTGGTCCATTAGAATTCCTAGATTGTTCAAATATGAACAGCTGTCAAGCCACGTGGATATCATCTTGTGACGTGTAATTGGGTTTGTGATCTATGTGCACTATTTATATTCATATCAATCACATTTCATCTTGTTGGTTTTACCGTAGAATTCTAGTCTGTTCATTGCTGTTTTAAGCTCAGATTCTGTGAGAGGCAGTGGTTCTACTGCTAAAAAAATCAGCTATTAAGAGAGTTAAAAAAAGTGTTACTGGAAATTCCCCAGTGCATCTTTTTGTTGTTGCTGTTAGTGGTGGTCTGCTTTCTTTCTCTTGAATGATGTTCTCTCATGGCCAGATGGCTTCTTTGTCATTCTTCAGTCTCTAAAGATACCTTCTAAGAGAAGTTTATCCTAACCCAATCTTCAGAAGTCTTTATTATTTTATCATTTTATCTTCTTCACAGCATTTAGTACTCTCCAGAATCATTTTGTTTAATATTTGCTCATGTGTTTGTTATTTGTCTCCTCCCCGACCCCCTACTGTAGCAATTGAAAAAGAACTTGCTTAGTTTGATATCAATTTTCTCTGTAGGGCCTAGAAATCTACCTAGCTCATAGCTGGTGCTGAATTAATACCTACTGGATGAATGAATGAATGAATCAACGCTTGCTTTATTGACTACAGGTAGAGATTAGTAACTAAAGTCCCTTATTATACTAATAAATAACAATTAAACCTTTTATGGTCCAGCAAAATACAGTCCTCTGACATGCTATATTAGAAACTGCGGTCCAGATTATCTGAGAGATATTTATTTACATTTTTAAGTCTAGGAACACATGGCTTTATCTGGGCAGAGACTAAATGGATTTTGCACATAAGATTCCAAGTTGATCATAGAGTCATGGATTAAATCTTTCTGCATATCTAAAACATGTGTAGCTTGAACACAGAGTTAAAAGGAAAAAGAGCAAAGGATTCTCACCATAAATACATTATAATGCAAGGTACTTATTAGACAAATGTGATACTTTCTATATGCTGAAAAAACAAGTAAGCTAACAATCAGTTGTCACAGGTATTATTCATCTCTGCTATTTAATATTTCAATTATTATAATTATAAATTTAAAAGACCATTCTGCTACTGTCATGAAGGTAATTGTAAAGTAATACAGAGTTCAAATAAATCCAAATTATACATCTGTGGAATGCAATTTAAAACATTTTGGATTTTACCTCTATTATGTATATTTTATTTGAACCAATTTTACTTATAAAGAATTTTAGAAAATAGAAAAATAGAGCATCTGGATTACTATTGTCACAGATATATGGACACTCAGGTAAAGCAAAACTAGGTCAGGTAATGGAACTTTAAAGCCACAGTCATTTCTTTCCCGACACCTCTGAAAATCTCATGTGTTTTGTTTTGTTTTTGATTTGTTTTGTTTTTGAAATTAGCTTTCAAAGTGGATGGAATGTTTCTGGATTTTTTTTTTTAAACTGAAGCATTCCTACATTTTTCTTTAGAAGATGGATTATATAGTCATAATAAACCAAGTAATCACTATTAAGATTTTAAAACAGTCTATTAACTATTTTGGATACATTTGTGTTTATTAATGAACATATGAGATTAAAGACACAAGAAAAGTTCAGTCATGAGAAAATGATCATAGTTGATGTTTGCAATAGAATATGTTGAGTATCTTCATGGGAGAAGAGTCTAGTTTTAAATGATTGTATTTACAAAAGTAATTACCTTTCTTCTCACTTAATTCATGTATCTGCTGGACTTGAATGATTTTGAGCACTTGAACTTGACAGAAACCCCTTTCCCAAACATGACAATTTAAATCCTTAGATTTGCCAAGATGCTTATGGCAATAAAAAGATTAATTTATTTCCACCACTAGGATTTAGAGCCACAGAGCTAGACCTGAGGGACCAATAGACTTGAAAGGGTGAGAATCAAGTTGCGTAGCTACTATGTTGATTTGGAGTAGAAGCCAATTGCAGAAAGTTTTACAGGAATCATTCACCATAGGAAAAAAAGTATTCTAGAGCATCAAGCCAGTTTCAGGTACAGAAGTTGAGCATCAGTAGGAAAGGGCACTTTCAGGGAGAGAGAAGAGGCTCACCTTCAATTCTTACCATCAGTGCAAGAATTGTGACGTGAAATTCTCTGGGAGAATAGCAATTTCTCAGGCTGTGAGTGCATATACATTAAAAGAATAATGAAGTGGTAATAGCACTTGTGCCCTGGAACAAAACGTTTGTGGACATTTTAGAGTAAGTACTCAGAGACTGATAAAATGTAGATATTAATTTTAATATGATACTGTGTGTCCTCACAGGCTAAACGGGGACATTCAAGTTGCAAACAAAGTATACTAGCAACTGTCACCAACAGAAGATTTAGTTCATACTCATCTCAATAAAATTAATGTAAACAACATGCACTTTAAGATACAGGAAACAGTAGTGATTAAACACTCAGGCTTTGAAATCTGATAACCGCTATTTTTTTTTTGAGACACAGTCTCACTCTGTCACCCAGGCTGCGGACAGAGTACAGTGGCACATTCTCAGTTCACTGCAACCTCCGCCTACTAGGTTCAGGCAATTCTTTCACCTCAGCCTCCCGAGTAGCTGGGCTCCAGGTGTGTACCACCATGCACAACTAATTTTTTTTATTTTTTAGTAGAAATAGGGTTTCTCCATGTTGGCTAGGCTGGTCTAAAACTTCTAACCTCAAGTTATCCACCTGCCTTGGCCTTCCAAACTGCTGTGATTACAGGCATAAGCCACCATACTCAGTCTAATAGCCAGGAGTTTTAATTACTCATCTTATACTCTAACTTTCATATTCCGTCTATTAGATGTGAGAAACAATAGTAGCTACATCATACAGTTGCCATGGAGATTAAATAAGATAATGACTGCAAAGCACTCATTAAGTGCTTGAGCTGTGTGTAGCCTACTGTGATGGACTAACATCTTCTAAGGCTGGGACTGAATTCCCAAAATCTCCAAATGATCTGGGTTCGAGTTTCCCAGTGAAAGGAATATGTAGGACATCCAGAAAGCAGAGGGAAGCACAAGAAATTAATCTTCAGAGTTGATTGCAGGCAGATGTGGAAACAGATGAGAGATTCACAGCAGCTTCCCAGCAAGTTTGTGGAAATCTCCACTGCTGACTGAGATACTGTGAGAGCTCCACAATGACACAGAAGAATTGCAGCAGCTTCCAGGCAAGCATTTGAGAACCACATGCTCCCTGCTGCAGGCTGGTATATTCAGGGTCAGCTCCTCTGATCTTTGGTGATACACCCTCAAACTTCAGCAGCATTTCCATGTCCTCTGCGCCCCAAACTTCTAACTCTCTATCATAAACCTCTTTTTAATAAACACTATTTTACACAGATACAGAGTGGTTTCCATTTTCCTGATTTAACTCTTAGTGATGTACTCCCAAAAAGTCTTAGCCAATATTTTTATTTTTACTATTATTTTCTACATTTATATATCATATATTTTATATATTGACATATTTATGTTCATTATTACTATTATTACCATCTTTATCAATATACATTTGTGATATCATATACGAATAGTATGTATTTTATTGGCCTTATATTTTCCAGTAATAAAGCAAATCAATGTTCTCTTAATATCGTTTTTTATCAACTAGATTCTTTAACTTCATGAGTATACCACATAGTGAGACATCTCCCTGCCCTAATACCTGTTTCCTTTATTGTTAGTTATAATTTTGTTGCTGGTACAGATACGTTTATTTATATGCAGATATGTTTAATTGTATGCATTTATTTATAAATGCATACAATTATAGCACTATTCAAAATAGCAAAGACTGAGAACCAACACAAATGCCCATCAATGATAGGCTGGATAAAGAAAATATGCCACATATGCGTTCTCATTGTTCAAAGAAAATATGGCACATACCACACCATGGAGTACTATGCATCCATAAAAAAGAATAAGTCCATTTCCTTTGCAGTGACATGGATATAGCTGAAAGCTATCATTCACAGCAAACTCACACAAGAACAGAAAACCAAACACCGTATGTTCTCACTCA